TGAGGGGGCTATGGACCATCACAGGGCACAGTGATTCTCCATACCTCCTTTACAAGGTGTGTCACTGAGCAAAGAACATTAATGATTTACTAGGAAAAAAAAAAAAATAAAGAGGAAGCTCAGTGATTAGAGCAGTGAACCCAGAAGGGAAACCTAGGGTCTACCTGCTGGTCCAAGAAGCATTTATGCACTTGCCTGTGGACAGTCATGTAAGAAAACACATCAGACAACAGGAATTAGACACCCTGGCTCTTCCTCCTCCACCAAATGAAACCTCACCCCTGCAAAAGGAGGAGCCCAGCTGCCAATGGGAAGGACACCTTGGCAAAACCAGCAGGCATCTGGCAGGCAAAGCCTCCCAAGATGTTGGAGATGTGGGTGTTAAACCCCACCCCAAGCTGGAGAAGGTCCCTTAGGCAAGTCTCCCATTACCTCAGGAGAGTGCTTTAACCAAGGCGCCACCAGGAAAAGCAGGAGCTTCCCCCATCTACATTTGCACATGAAGATGGCATGTGAGTAAGGTGCTGGGGTTTAAACCCCCAGCCCCAAATGAGGGTTGGCATACAGATGTTGTCCACAACCACACAAGAAGGACCCTCCTGACTGCTTTTCACCTAGGATCTGGCCAGCCTTCGGTGGGAACCAATTAGGAGGTCACCACCAGGTGCCCCTACCTTCAGAGTTAACATCCTGTCCCACCTCCAAGTTGATCATATTAGCTGGCTCCCCTTGCAGTCGAGTTGGGGAAGTTTACTTACATAGCAGATGTACTGTGTATGCATTGCAGTTTTTTGGAAGGACTCCCTGATGGTCCACTACAAGTACAGTTCCTTGCAATGGTGGGACAAGATCAAGACAGGAGGAAGATTTATGAAGCTTTCTCTTGGCAATTACTATAGGATTGGGACTGGACTGAAAGCCTGGCTTACTCCTTCCCCTATGGCCTGCTTTTGGAATCACCTTGCTCCCTTCTTTGCTGCATTATGTGTTGTGAGTGAATACATTGGTCTATTCATTCCTCCACTGGTGGGCCACCTTGGATCTCTTACATACTACCTAAGACCAGAGGGAGGGATCTGGCTCATGTGTTAATTATAATATATTAATGATAATATCCTTCCTAACGGGGCAAGCAGTCAGCAAAGGAGTGAGTGGCAAAAGCCATGTCAGAGGATGCCTGCTGGCTTTAGGACACATTTGGTAATGGTGTTCCCTGCAGCGTGTCAAGCAGCTCCCCTGTCTAAAGGCAGGAGTTGCTCCCAGTTGGCTTGGGTGAGGAATGGTGGGATGCCGGGGACTTCTGCCACTGTCCTGGACAGGCACTTAGAGGATGTATGTGCTTATGTTCCATCTAAGGACATCTACATCGTTCTCCATATCTGGCCTTAATTCTTGAGCAGAATGAAGAAATGCAATACAAGAACAGAATTAGATGAAAATGCATGACTATCACATTCCCGGTTCACATGTAAATATTGCCATTTAAAATTATGCTTTCTTGGATGAATTTTCATCATGATACTGCTTCTTTCACCTAGGCTTCTTTATATTCTTTAAATCAAAGATGTACTTCTCTACAACTATATGACAGTGCCTGTGTCTCTCTCCTTCTTCTATAGTTCTCAAGCTTTTGATTTTTCTTGAACAGTCTGGGGAGGAAGCTTTATGTTGGACTGGAAGTGCCCAGAGCTGAGAACAGCTCCCATGTAAGTTTTAACAGTTGTGTGCACAAAGAGGGAGCCCATCACTGCATGACAAACACAGTTATTTCTGCCGCACCAGCTGCATCACTTCAATGTTCCCTACGTCAAAGACAAAAGTCGCCAAGTGTGACAGCCCACTGCCAAGCCAGTCCTTCTGCAGCTGAAACACCAGGCTCTGAAATACGAAATGAAGCTATCAAGCTGCCAATCAGAAAGCATACATTATACCAACTAGCATGAAATTGCACAGATGAGCTGGTTCTCCTCTTATTTCTTTTGTTATGCAACTAAGATGTTACCAGGTCAAAGTACAATATTGCAGTATCCTGCAATGTGACAATCTTTGAAAGCTGAAATTATTTGCCACCAGAACCACAAGCTAATAACACAGCCTCCATGCAGGCAGTCCCCATCTGTTGCTTTTTCTAAGTTTCAAACAAACCCACCATTCCGTGTAAAGTTATTAGCAATCCCCAGACATCGTTCACAGTCATGTCTAATGTCCAAAATTTATACTCCAACAGCTATATTCCCCTCCAACCTGCCCTTCAATATGTTTTTTCCCTTCTTCGTTTTCTTTCTTCCTTGCAATATAAAGAATCCATGTCCTGGAAATACATTGCCAACTTCCAGAATTGATTGAAACCAAACACATAAATAAGAAAGAGATATCAACCCAACTTCAGATCTGAGTCTAAGCCCACACAACACTCAAAGCATGTGCTGTCCAACTTACAGTGTAGTGTATGCATGTGACTAACTCTGATGCTCTCTTCTCTACTACTACATAGCCTCTAATAAAATTATCACTCCACAAAATACTGGGGAGCCACAACATAAAGAATGAGGAGGATACAACAGCCAGCAGTCCTGCTTGTTGCAGGAATCTGCATGATAGGGAGATCTTTCAGGCAGCCATGCTGAGGTCCTACAAAACCTCACTACCCACAAGGTGATCAGCTACTTCAGAACAGCCATTTATGGTGCTTTAATAAGGTTTGTACATGGGATATGGTGCAAGTGCCAAACTGAAAACTGAGCGCATATATTAAAACAACCTTTCCCACTGACAGATCCTGAAATAAATAAAAAAAAAAAAAAAAAAAAAAAAAAAGAAAAAAGAAAAAGAAAAATCCCCCACCCCATGCCTTCCTTGATTTCTTCTGTCTGAAGAAAGGATCCTGCAAGCTCTGTTTGCAATTTCACGTCAGTCTTTTGCTCTTTGTAACCAGGTAGATGGCTTTGCCTGTGTTTAATAATCCCATAGCTCAAAGCTAACAGCCATTTACCAGGCAGAAAGGCAAAAGCCACCCTGGGGTAATATTTTGCACATCATCTTCCATGTATGCATTACAAATAACCCACAGCAGTAAATGACGTTGCATACATCCAAACTCTGGAGCTTTTGTTTATAGGAAGGCTCAATAAACAACTTCAATGGCTATCGATAAGAAGCATCTTTTCCTTTTAAAGGCAGTCAGTGTTTATATTCTGAGTTTCTTGTACTCCTAACACTCAAGAAATAGCTCCAGCACTTGCCTCATCTGGTCAATCATGCCTGATAACACCTGTCTTTTCACATTCTTGGGTTTATTCATTATACAATGAATGTGTTTCTCTTTACACAATACACTTGCAGGACAATATGTCTCCAGCATGCTTACAAATTTGATACAAAGCTGACTGGACTGAACAGAATGTCTTCACTGGCTCTGGAGCTAGTTGAGGGTCCCAGCTCTGCAAATGGGCTTCCAGCCTAAGGAGGGGCTTATACACAAGTTAGGCACCCCAGCCCAGAAGTGCAATCACAAAATCCCTAACCCTTTAAGTTGCTCATCTTCCACTCAGCCAAGGTCTCCAAAGGCCTGAACTGTTTGCAGACTTTCTTCTTCCCACAGTTATCTGCTTCACTGAAAAAAACAAGCAAACAAACAAACAAACAAAACCAGCAACAAACCCCCCACAGTGACCTATGAAATGGGGGATCAGGGGATAGGTCTCCCTTTCCCAAGTGTGGTCCCAACCACTAAGTGCTTGAGTCATTTTATGTGAGTGTGTGAGCCTGTATATGTATGCATACATATGTATGCATATTTTTTGCTCCCCCTTCTGGCCCCATGAATGTTGATTTTTTTTCCTTTGTGGTGGAATAAGGGGAGAGCAGGGGAATGATCCAGCCTCCAACATGACTTTTCACCAGGGACCTGCAGCACTCCTCTGGGAGATGCACAACGTGGATTTCTGCTGAGAAAAGGGTCCCAAAGCCTTTCTCGCTCTGTAACAGCAGCATGTAGGTGTGCCCTGTATCCCTGGGCACACAGACCTCTTTGTCAGGTGTGTGCAGCAGTGGGAAGGCAGCATCCTCATTTTTTAACAGAGATGTCAACGTGGGTGGCACGATACTGAGCCTAACGACGACTTAACAAGAGACCCAGTGTTGGGAATTTAATGCAGTAGTGCTTCACAAACACCAGGCTTGTAAACCATAATAACTGGGACACTTACACTGTACTTTACACTCCTTCACACACACCTTTCTTAAAGGTGTGCTGTGTAATTGAGTCAGCTCTCTGTATTTCACAGGGGACTGGACCTGAAATTGCCCATGTCCAGCCTAGCTGACCTCCATTTCTAGGTGGCTTATGCCAGTCTCAGCACATATGTAAAGTTTTTTCTTCAGTATAACTGAAGTATAAGCTTTACACATACAACACATTTGTTTGCAGGAGAGCAGCTGGGACTACATTTTGTTACCCTATCAATTAATACAGGAGAAAAGGAAAGAAATACTCTTCCAATTTCAATGTGGTTATTTTGGAAAGAGAGAGAGAAAGGAAAGGCTTCTGACTATCTACCAGTGTAAAAGCTGTCCATTTTCCACAAGTGGAAATCTTCCCTTTCTGGACGATGCTGAGGCCAGCCCCTGCCAAAGGTGACCTCTACCCCAGAAAGAGAGTCACCCAACAGATCACAACAAATACTCATTTTCCAGAATCATTCCACAGACGCGGCTCCCAGCACCTTTGTTTCATCTCAAGACAAAGACAGATTTTTCACACCAGACACATCTTACACCACAAAACCCCGACCCAGTCACCACCACAGCTGTAGACACTGGCATCAGCAGCCACCTGCCACCCGCAGCAGCAGGATCCCACGTTTGTCACGTGTCTGCCTGGCGTGTCACCGCCAACGGGCAGGGGTGCCTGCGCCGCAGCCCCCCACACACTGCCCACCCCAGAGCCCCATCGGCCACGGGCCAGAGCTGGAGAGGCAACGAGCAACGACAGGACGTACCCAGCCTCCATTGTCCTGGATCCAGTTGTGCAGGTGCCGGTTCAGGTACTCGGTCATCCAGGAGACGATGCTGTCTACAAGGGGAGACATCTCCCGGTTGACGCTCTCCACACACATCACACCTCCGAACTCGAAGAAGGCCAC